AAAAAATGACAAAAGCACATAACAAAATTACTAAAAATGAAACTAATATTTAAAATGAAAACTAAAAATAAAGAATAAATAAAAGCTAATTCAAAATATTAATAAAATCTTTAACGGTATACAAATAATGCTCAAACGACACTAGTTAGGACTTGAGGAAAATGTCTGGAATATTTTCGGTAGATAATTAAGAGTAGAAATATTTGAAACTAGTCTGAAGTTGGTCAAATCAAATCAAATGAAACATAAGGCTGCATCATTCCTGACCTTGTTCTTTGAGGGCTTTCAGGTCGGTTGAATTGGGAGCTAAAGTGGGGATGCTGGTGACGACGCGCACAGACACGTTTCTGGACGGTAAAGCCTTGAACTCTTCTAAAATCTCTCTGCCCTGAGAAACAAGAAACCATGCTTCAAAAACAGCAATACTTTCACATGCATCGTATTGCAGTGAGGGGTGTGCGATATGACGATTTTTGATCGTGGACGATAAAAATGTAAAACAACTTTTGAGCGAGTAAATGATGGTATAAAAATAAAGCACTATTTTTATTTTTGGGTGAATTATTCCTTTAATGTTAATAAAACACCAAAACACAAAGAGAAAAATCACTCACTACTCTTGACTGAAAAACTTTAATACAGTTGCTTTGATAGGAATCAATCTAGTTTGTTTTATTTGTATATTATGTGTATTTGTAATGTGCATCTTTGTTCTCATTTTTTAATAACAGATAAAATAATGACAATGATTTTTATCTTCACCCACTTTGGCCTAAATATACACCATTCTTTTTTTAGTGCTGTCAAACGATTAATCGCGATTAATCGCATCCAAAATAAAAGCTTTTGTTTACTCAATATATGTGTGTGTACTGTGTGTATTTATTATGTATATATAAATACACACACATGCATATGTATATATTTCAGAAAAATATGCTATGAATTATAAATATCAATGATGCCTAAAAATAAATAAATAAATAAACGAACGAACGAGCGAGCGAGCGAGCGAGTGAATGAATGAGTGAGTGAATGAATGAATAAATGAACAAACGAATGTATGAATTAGTGAACGAATGAGTGAGTGAATGAATGAACGAGTGAGTGAATGAGTGAATGAATGAATTAGTGAATGAATGAATGAACGAGTGAATGAATGAATTAATTAGTGAATGAGTGAACGAATTAATGAACGAACAAGTGAATGAATGAATGAATGAATTACTGAACGAATAAATGAATGAATGAGTGAACGAATGAATGAATGAATTAATGAATGAACAAATGAATGAATGAATGAGTGAATGAATGAATGAACGAGTGAATGAATGAATTAGTGAACGAATGAATGAACGAGTGAATGAATGAGGGAATGAATGAACGAGTGAATGAATGAGGGAATGAATGAATGAGGGAATGAGTGAATGAATTAATGAATGAACAAGTGAATGAATGAGGGAATGAATGAATATTCACCAAGAATGTTCAATTCTATTGTGGCATTCAAAAATATTTCAGTCTGTTATAAATATTTCATCTGAAAAACAAATTTCCATTAAATTGAACTCAGTAAACTTTAAATTGTGTTCACATTATGAACTTAGAATAAATGTGAGGTATTTAAATAATTCAAAAGTATAAAAACTAAATTCATAATCAGAAATGGGCACAAATACATAAAAATATATTTTAAATACAAATACAAAATACTGTGTGGAAAAATGTACTTAAATGCAAATTACATTCTATTTTTTTTCAAAGGCTTTAAAATACAAAAAAGGTATTTTGTAGTTCAAATACTTATTTTAAATACATGTATCTGAAATACTGCCCATCCCTGTTCATTATTAGATTCTTATTTCAAGTAGTTCCCAAAAAACACTTCACATTTTTGATTAGTCTATATATATATATATATATATACATGACAAAAACACAACAAAATTACTAAAACTTTGACTGAAATTAAAATGAAAACAGACAATAAAAGTAATTCAAAATATATTAATAAAACCTATAATATTATATCAATTATATTAAAATAACAGTGTGTATATATACACTATACAATATATTTCTTTAAATAGTGTACATATCAATTTAGAATATATGTGAGGAATTTAATTAATTAAAAAATATAAATATTAAAATCATAATTTTATTTTTATTTCAACTAGTTTCCAAGAGACACTTCGCATTTTTGTTTAGTTGAATTTGGAGTACAACATAACTAAAATAAAATGTAAAAAAAAGATGACAAAAACACACAACAAAATAACTAAACTTTGACTGAAAACGAAATGAAGACAAAATAAAAAAATACAAACTAACTCAAAATATTAACAAAAACTATAATAGTATATCAATGATACAAAAATAGCACTGTATCAAAAGCCTATTGAATCCTATACACTAACCAACACTGAATTTGTCAAATTGTACAGTTGCTTTGACACAATCTGTATTGTTAAAAGCGCTATATAAATAAAGGTGACTTGACTTGACTTGACATACAGATGAGAACTGAGGTTTATTTGTGAATGCATCTTGCATCTTTATGCATGCACAGTTTATGCATGTGTAACATGTTTTAGACTCCAGTGTTGTCACAAGATTTCATTATAATGCATGTTTAATTCAGCGAGTGCCATATTTTGGATTTTTAATCCAGCTGCATGAAAAATATGCTAAGAAGCGTCTAGCAGTCATGTAGATCACGCTGCAGTGAAACTCTGTACTACACTACAGCTGCTGAGAGTCCTGACAGTCATGTGACCTTCACCTCCTGTCAGAATGAGAGAATGCACATGAACATCAATGTCAGAATCACACAGAGCATCACTGCAGTGGCTCGTACAGTTTATTTGTGAATGCATCATTCATCACGTTTATGCATGCAGCCAGTGTGCAATAATAAATGTTTCAGACTGCAGTGCATGTTTAATTCAGCAACTGCCATGCAGTTATCATCTCACAAATATCATCAATTTGCATTTTTATTATATATATATATATATATATACACGACAAAAACACAACAAAATTACTAAAACTTTGACTGAAATTAAAATGAAAACAGACAATAAAAGTAATTCAAAATATATTAACAAAACCTATAATATTATATCAATTATATTAAAATAACAGTGTGTATATATACACTATACAATATATTTCTTTAAATAGTGTACATATCAATTTAGAATATATGTGAGGAATTTAATTAATTAAAAAATATAAATATTAAAATCATAATTTTATTTTTATTTCAACTAGTTTCCAAGAGACACTTCGCATTTTTGTTTAGTTGAATTTGGAGTACAACATAACTAAAATAAAATGTAAAAAAAAGATGACAAAAACACACAACAAAATAACTAAACTTTGACTGAAAACGAAATGAAGACAAAATAAAAAAATACAAACTAACTCAAAATATTAACAAAAACTATAATAGTATATCAATGATACAAAAATAGCACTGTATCAAAAGCCTATTGAATCCTATACACTAACCAACACTGAATTTGTCAAATAAATAAATAATTAAGATTAAAAAAAATTTCAATTCCATTGTGTGGCACTAAAAAATATTTCAATCCGTTATAGAATTGAGCTGAGCTGGGTAATCTTTAAATGTACATATTATGAGTTCAGAAAAAATGTGAAGTATTTCAATACAATAATTCAAAAGTATGACTTTTACAACACTTCTGTAAATGTCAAAGCAGTTGCATTTGCTTTGGTTTAAATTGAACTAATTTTATGCCTAGCAAAGCTCAGCAGAAATAAATCAATCTAATTTAAATCATTGTTTGAATATCACTTTTGCCAGGATTTTTTGGGTTTATATGAATCGAAAGCATTCAGATGCATGTCTAAGAAATGCGACGACTTGAACTTTTTAAAAAGAGAAAGAAATTCCACGGGGAAGTCGGTTTTATTCTTATTTTTTTAATGAAATTGCATGTAAACTAAAGGTCAGCTCTCCATGTAATCCAAACAGAAGCTGGTCTTAAACTCAAACTGTGGCGCAGAAGTGCTGAAGGTGGCAGGAAGTGAAAGCATGAAAACAGGAAGTGTGCTCACCTGCTCTGCTCGATGGGGCCGCTTTGATTACAGCACGGCGGTGTCTGAGGAGGATTCAGAGCCTCGTGGATCCGATCCTCATTCTTTAACGTCTCTATTACAGCCACGGCTAATAAAATCCCCAAAACCAGCAGACATCCAGCGGCCAGCAGAGCCGAGACGGGACACTTGGAGGCGAAAGCATGAAAACAGGAAGTGTGCTCACCTGCTCTGCTCGATAGGGCCGCTTTGATTACAGCACGGCGGTGTCTGAGGAGGATTCAGAGCCTCACAGTATAAATAATTCTTAGAAAATAAGTAAATAAAAATAAAAAGTAAATAAAAATAAATCAATATTAATACAAATAACAAATAAAAATGAAAAACAGTAAAACATTATTCTTAGAAAATAAGTAAAAATAAGTCAATATTAATACAAATAATAAATAAAAAATATAAAAAATAAATGTAAATAAATAAAAAATAAAGATGGAAAAATAAATAAATTGCATCTGTGCTAAACTAATAACTACTGTGAATTAAGATAATCAGATCCATTTACAACATAAGGTTCTAGTTACTAGTAACTAAACTTTAAAACAAGTAGGCATCAAAAAATTATTATTATTTTTTTTAAATATGAAGGTTTATGAAAGCAAATGGTAAAAATGCATACGGAGGATTACAAACTTTTATAATAACATTTTGATTACAGACTTGGATCTTCTGTGAACTGAATGCAGAGATTTTAAAACAGTGTTTATTAATAAACTACACCGAAAAAAAAAAAAATTGTATATGATTCACTTTAAATACATTTTAACTCTGAAATGAAACCGCAACACATTAATTAAACACGTAATTCTGAAATAGAAAGACTTTAAACAGTATTTTCTAAAACATCTTTGTTTTATTTACTTTTTTTACGGTGTATAAATAAATGCCTAAATTTAAAATACAGGTTTATAAAGTATTTTTGTGCACATCAGCATTAAAAGATTTACATGAGGCATGTTACAGAAAGAGCAACTGAAAGCCATCGCATCTCAGCGCTCAGATACTGTATATTACACTATAATATACTGTTTGCATGCTGTATAATATTAATATTACATACCTCATTCAGTGCACTGATGTTTGTCCAAACAAGAGATGTTGTGTCAGAAACTCCCGACTCCTCGGAGTAACAGCATAACTTCAGTTTCATTTCAGCAGAAATACGACTGATCAGAGCTTCAGTGCATTATGCTTGCGCAAGCATTAATTATCAGAGCTTCATTTACACATGATGTTTACTTCAGCTTTATATGGACGTCCAGGAGTGTTTAACTCGAGGAAAATAACGAGTCAGGCAGAACGTTCACCGGTTTATACCGACTTGTGATCAAAGACAGACTGACAGACTGCAAAAAATGATGTTCTTCTTCAGTATTTTTGTATTGTTTTCCAGTGCAAATATCTAAACATCCTGACACCAAGACGCAGTTCTTCAGGCAGGAAGCGAAAGCATGAAAACAGGAAGTGTGCTCACCTGCTCTGCTCGATAGGGCCGCTTTGATTACAGCACGGCGGTGTCTGAGGAGGATTCAGAGCCTCGTGGATCCGATCCTCATTCTTTAACGTCTCTATTACAGCCACGGCTAATAAAATCCCCAAAACCAGCAGACATCCAGCGGCCAGCAGAGCCGAGACGGGACACTTGGAGTCCTGCGAGCACAAAATCATCACTAGATAGAAAACCTCCGACGAGACGCTCTGAAAGAGTCAAGCTCACCCTGCGATTGGACACATAGCTGTCATGTAGACTCTTATACGGAGACGTCAGTTCATGACCGTCCAGCAACCGTGAAGATCTGAAAGCAAGCATTTATCACTGAATCTTGTAATGAATCGACAGAAAGCAGAGTGTGTGTGAAACAGCAGAGGACTCACGCTGGCATGTTGAAGCAGGTGCTGATGATTTCTCTTGTGACACACAAAGGGAAATATTCTTAAATAGTCTCATTAGTTCCTCATTCGCTTTTCATTTCTGTTTTTGTCACTTCAACACTTGTCTAATATATTTAAAGGGGCTTTCAGACATCTGTAGATCACATCTTTTGTCATATTTACTTAACTGACCAAAAACTGGCTTTATGAAAAATCTACAGGAAATTATTAAACGGATAAATAGAAAACAAAACACGAATAAATAAATAAAAATAATATAAATAAAAATTTCGAAAAAAAAAAAAATTGTATATGATTCACTTTAAATACATTTTAACTCTGAAATGAAACCGCAACACATTAATTAAACACGTAATTCTGAAATAGAAAGACTTTAAACAGTATTTTCTAAAACATCTTTGTTTTATTTACTTTTTTTTTTACGGTGTATAAATAAATGCCTAAATTTAAAATACAGGTTTATAAAGTATTTTTGTGCACATCAGCATTAAAAGATTTACATGAGGCATGTTACAGAAAGAGCAACTGAAAGCCATCGCATCTCAGCGCTCAGATACTGTATATTACACTATAATATACTGTTTGCATGCTGTATAATATTAATATTACATACCTCATTCAGTGCACTGATGTTTGTCCAAACAAGAGATGTTGTGTCAGAAACTCCCGACTCCTCGGAGTAACAGCATAACTTCAGTTTCATTTCAGCAGAAATACGACTGATCAGAGCTTCAGTGCATTATGCTTGCGCAAGCATTAATTATCAGAGCTTCATTTACACATGATGTTTACTTCAGCTTTATATGGACGTCCAGGAGTGTTTAACTCGAGGAAAATAACGAGTCAGGCAGAACGTTCACCGGTTTATACCGACTTGTGATCAAAGACAGACTGACAGACTGCAAAAAATGATGTTCTTCTTCAGTATTTTTGTATTGTTTTCCAGTGCAAATATCTAAACATCCTGACACCAAGACGCAGTTCTTCAAGATGCTAAACGGTATAAGATACGGTCTCATTTTCTAAAATAAATTCATTAATTCATTCATTAAATAAAGTGAGTTTAAAGCTTAAAACAAGAATAATATCTGCCAATGGAGTCAGAAAAATTATCTTGTTTTCCTTCTGAATTAAGTGTGTTTTTCTGACCCAATTATCAGATTTCTTTTCTTGTTTTAAAGCTTAAATTAACTTAATTTTGATTTGTTTTCTGGAAAACAAGAGTTAATATCTTACGTCTTTTTGCTTGTTTAGATATCTGCACTGGAAAAGCAATAATCAATTTTTGCAGTGCATTTTCACGTCAGTGATATCTTATTAAAATAACACTGAAAAAAAAAAGATTTCCTATTTAGAATTTTTGTCTCGATTTGAGTTACAAATATTTGTAAAATAATAAAAAAAATAATTCCAGTAAAATAATTATAGTATCGAGATACTGTTATAGTTTTTATTAATAGTTTCGATTAATTTTTATTTATATATTTTTGTTTTCATTTTATATTTAAAGTTTTAATAATTTTTTTGTTTTTTTTTTTTTTTTTTTTAATACGTCTATATAGTTATCTTTATTAATTTTATTTCAGCTTTACTTTTGCTTTTAGTTATTTTAATACATCAAATTAAACTAAATGAAAATAAGAAATGTTGCCTTGGCAAATAGCTAAAATTAAATAACTAATTTTCTTTTTATATTTTATATCAGTTGTATTTTGTATTTTATTTCAGTTATATTTTTTATATTTATTATCATATCAAAGTGACTAGTGATGATTTCTGGGACAGGCTCGTCACACCAGTGAACTCTCTCGGTCTGTGCTCCTGACCATGCGCCGGCTGCTCGGCGTCGCTCCGCCGCCTCGATGGGACGCGGCTCTGGAACTGCGGACCCCGGCGGAAGCAAGCGTGCGGCTGAGACGAGGGTTTCCTCGAGGATCGATGACAGTGTTGATGACTGAGAGACACACGAGTGAGGTTCAATATCAGACAGACTCTCTCTCAGGAAAAAAGGTACAAAAGCTGTCACTTTTTCAAAAGGTACACTTTTGTACCTTTTAGGTACTAATATGTGACCCTGGAGCACAAAAGCTGTTGCACCTCTGAGAACTTTTTAAGGTTTATTCTGTGTCACAGAGCTGTAAAAACAGTTATGCTCACCAAGTGAATGAATCGCGTTTGTGTCGAACTCTTATTACAAATCAAAAACAAACATTCTTCTTCCATCAATGAACGTTTCTCTCAGTTAATGTGTGCGATCTCACAGACTCTGAAGCGACTGTCACAGCAAATCAACACATGCTGCTGTGAATAATTAAGCGAAGCGGCTTCTCATTGGATAAGAACACGCAGTCTCATGAATAATTTAATAGACACCGACGCGTCATCGATGTACTATTAGTCCACTGCCACACGCCACAAATTGTGACGTCAACACGATGTAGATTTTAAACCCGGAAGATGAAAATAGCGCAAAAAAAGCTTAAAATTAACCAGTTTTCATTGACCCTTATGACTGGTTTTGTGCTCCAGGGTCACATATGGACTCTTTAGGTACAAAATGTGCCTTTTGAAAAGGTACCGCCTCAGTGACAGCTTTTGTACCTTTTTTCCTGAGAGTGTGTGCCCCGGTAAGAGAGGAGGAACGTTTGGATCTACTGACCTTCCAGCTGTTTCTGGACTCGCCGCAGCTCTCTGAGAATTGATGCAATTTCCTACAAGACGAGCAAAACGGTTTAATTGATTTAAAACCACTGAGTATTAAAAATCTTTAGAGATGAACCACGGTTCACTAAAAATAGAACCATAAAAAAAAAGTTTTCATTACTTGAAATAAAAGAAACATTAAGTGAATTAAAATAAATTCAGCCCATTTTATTTCTCATTTGTGCTTAGTTTAACTTGAAGCAGGATTATTATATTTAACTACAAAACCATAAAAATTCTTTACTTGACATAAAATGCTCCATCCATCCATCCATCCATCCATTCATCTATCATCTATCTATCTATCTATCCATCCATCCATCTATCCATCCATCCATCC